AAATGTGGTATCTACACACAATGGAATTTTATGCAGCCATGAAGAAGAACGAAATGTTATCATTCACTGGTAAATGGATGGAATTGGAGAACATCATTCTGAGTGAGGTTAGCCTGGCCCAAAAGACCAAAAATCGTATGTTCTCCCTCATATGCAGACATTAGATCAAGGGCAAACACAACAATGGGATTGGACTTTGAGCACGTGATAAAAGCGAGAGCACACAAGGGAGGGGTGAGGATAGGTAAGACACCTAAAAAATTAGCCTTCAACGCAGAGAAACTAAAGCAGATACTTTAAAAGCAACTAAGGACAATAGGAAAAGGGGGCCAGGAACTAGAGAAAAGCTTAGATCAGAAAGAATTAACCTAGAAGGTAACACACATGCACAGGAAATCAATGTGAGTCAACTCCCTGTATAGCTATCCTTATCTCAACTAGCAAAAATCCTTGTTCCTTCCTATTATTGCTTATACTCTCTCTACAACAAAATTAGAAATAAGGGCAAAATAGTTTCTGCCGGGTATTGAGGGGGTGGGGGGGAGATGGAGGGGGTGGAGTGGGTGGTAAGGGAGGGGGTGGGGGCAGGGGGGAAAAAGGACCCAAGCATTGTATGCACATATGAATAGTAAAACAATTTTTTAAAAATCAATAGCCTTTCTATATGCCAACAATGAACAAACTGAGTAAGAATACAGGAAAACAATTCCATTTACAACAGCCTCAAAAAAAAAATCAAACACCTAGGAGTAAACTTAACAAAGGATGTAAATGACCTCTACAAGGAGAACTCAAACCACTAAAGAAAGAGATCAAGGAAGACTAGAGGATGGAAAGATCTCCTGTGCTCATGGACTGGTAGAATCAACACAGTAAAAATGGCTATTCTACCAAAAGCAATCTACATGTTCAATGCAATACCCATCAAAATTCCAATGACATTCATCACAGAGATTGAAAAATCTATCCTAAAGTTCATTTAGAAACACAAAAGACCACAAATAGCCAAGGCAATAATACTGAGCAAAAACAGCAATGCTGGAGGTCTCACAATACCCAACTTCAAACTATACTACAGAGTCATAGCAATAAAAACAGCATGTTACTGGCACAAAAAAAGATGTAAAGACCAGTGGAACAGAATAGAGGAACTGGATATGAATCCATACTGCTATGCCCACCTTATTTTTCACAAAGGTGCCAAAAATATATGATGGAGAAAAGACAGCCTCTTCAACAAATGTTGCTGGGAAACATGGCTGTCTGTCAGCAGAAAACTGAAATTAGATCCATGCCAGTCACCCTGTACTAGTACCAACACAAATGTGGATTAGACATTAATATCAGACCCGAAACCTACATGAAAGAGCAGGGAACACCCTGGAAACAATAGGAATAGGCAAGGACTTCATCAGCAGCCCAGCAACTAAGAGAAAGGATGGACAAATAGAACTACATGAAATTAAAAAGCTTCTGCACGACAAAAGAAATTGTATCTAAACTGAAGAGAACATCCACAGAGTGGGAGAAAATATTTGCTACCTATACATCAGACAAAGGACTGATAACCGGAATTTACAGGACTGGTCTCCCTCCACCAAGAAAAGCTTCTGAAGTAAAAGAAGGACAAATACACTCTCCTATTTGTAACTTGGGTAGGGTACCCTCAAAATCTAGCTCTGTCATTGAGGGGCATTCAGGGATCTAATGTCACTTGAGCCTGACAAGAGGTGCTGTCAGCCAGGACTTCAGTTCCCTGCTTCCTCTCCCACCTGCTGCTGAGCCAGGAGGTTCTCCATGATCCAAACAGAAGGGGGCTTCAACACTGAATTTATTTTACTCATCAACTGCATAACTCATTGTCTGTGGAACATTTTGCACTATCTTTAAAAGAGAAGACCTTTCCTTCCCTCTCTGTAATTCTGCCTTTACCCCACTTCACCATCATTAACCATCACACTTCTGTCCCTCTCAAAACACTAGATGTTTTCCCATTGAGCCCATTTGAGTACATTTGAGCGGTAGGCTATATTGGAGTGTTTTTGCTATCCTGCAATACAACCCAGCTATTAAAAGTGCAGAGGCACTGAACCTATGTCAAAACATCACCTGATTACTGGGTTAGTGGAGAGTGAAAACTGATGCAATCCTAAATCTGGTTGCATCAGCTGCTAGGTGTGACAGGAAGTGAGCAGTCAGGCATTTGAGAAGGAGATCACAAGAAATTGTTGTCCTAGCACCAATGAAGTCCTGGAGCCACATCACAGGGTATCTGGGGCCCAACTCGCCCACCCCAGTGCCCAGTACCCAGCAAGTGCACAATACTAGTTAATCAAAGGACTGATTACAGAATGCTCAAGCTATCTGGATCCTGTGAAAAAGATAAGCACCCCATGACAGCTGGTAGTTAGCCTGGTTGGTTTTATCAGTCAGACCTTGGTGTGGCTACAAGCTGGCGGGGCACCCACAGCTTGGGTTGATGCTTGTTTATATTAAACGTAAGCAATTTCATGGAACATCAGTGGCCATCAGACAAAGACCAATATGACCATGACAAAGACAAAAACAATACTCCTTCATAGGCACATTTGAACACAGGCAAAACAGGGACACCATCCAAGTCCCAAAAAGGAGCAGGTATCCCCCATACCAGCTAATGAGTGACTGTTGCTTCTTTACCAAAACCAGCTTTAGCCTCACTCCATTCTTCTCACCTTCCAGGTAAGAATTAAGATGCCCAATCATAGTTATCCCTGTTTCCTGACAGCATCCAAAGCAAAGCCTATTCCTTGAACCCAAGGATCTGAGACATCCATGGCTACCCATAGTCAGAGACTTCCCTAATTCAGTGGGTCAATGGACCCAATTTGTGTTCCTCAATGGTCTTTGGGATTTACAATCCTTAGCCATACATAACCCTTCCCAGATTAGCAAAATGACTATGGTTATCATTGTGCTTGTGTCACAGGGAGAAAGCAGGGGAAGAAACAAGCATGGGGGACTCACTGAGGGGAGGTGGGGAATCAATGGTTGTCAAGCTTCACTTCAGAGCGACAGATGACGTGTACAAAGGGCATTTTCCCAATGCAATGTTCACTCCTTTCTTTCAAAGAAAATTCAACAGAATATAGAAATAGGATTAACCATGAGCTTACACAAACACACATATGTAAAATAAACCATTCACTAACTTTGGTACTCTGACAAATAACTTGTGACAAACATTACAACTGATGGACACAATCAAGGAACACAAACCAGCCAAAGCCTTACAATTACCTCGAAGTAGGAGCAAGGTCTAGAGCCAGAGACATCAAGCCTGCTTTATCATGAGTAACCTAAACAAGTTACTTAAACTGAGCCTTGTTTCTCACTCTGCATATTAAGAGAACAAGAACTATAAAGTAACTATGGACTAGCAGGACAAAACCCAAAATATTACTGCCTGGCACACAGAACAAGTTCAAAGTGACAAGTCCCCCCCTTTCCCGTCTTCTCCACCTTCAAATAAAAGGTGGGAACCGCTACAATGGTACATTGAAAAGAACCCATGCAAGCAAAGTCCCTCTCCTGAAATAAGCTGACCTCTTGAAAAGATTACTCTCAAAAGAGCTTTTCTTTGAAATTTGCCAATGTCTATTGGAATTTTCCCATAAAAAGTTCACAACATGGCATCCTTAGCTCTTCTGAGTTTCCTTCCAAGGGCCTACAAAATCCCAACCTGAAAACCAGGGCTTCCAGGCTGGCTTGGTCAATAGCCACCTTTGTGTCCATGATCAAGTGACATCCTATTCAGGCCTGTTTCTCTACCATAAACTGACACATTATTTCACTTTACTATTGGTCAGCAATGATGGCCATTGCTGGACAGGAAACTGTCACCAGTCACCAATAACCACCTTCCCCACTGGTGGCCTTTTTTCCCAACTGTCTAGCCACCCCCCAATATTGCACTGTCACCTGGCCTCTTGCTCACTAGGCTGGATACATCTGGGGCACAGTAGGTACCTCACTCATCTCTGTCCCACCTTTTTCCTCCCACTACTGCCCACTAGAGATTGACACAAGATGGGAGCTCAGAAAGTTTGATGAGAGTCAAAATTTTGAGCTCCAGATGAGTTGAATAGATTTTATTGAAGTCCAAGTGATTTTCCTCCTTTGATGACTCCCATGAGGGTGACAGCTTGTACTGGTTACAAGCCTTTCCCAAACACCAAACTTGCTACTTGTGCTGTGCCTCTCAAGACTGATCACATGCCCTGATTAATTGGTTTTGTTACCCAATTTATTATTACTAGGAAGGTCAATTTAATAATTTTATTGAAGAATCTTTAATGAAGAATTACCTCTAAAGAAAACTGCCATGTGTGTGCACCTAAAGTGTAATAGGTATTTTGTTTTCTTCAAGAGAAGAAAAACATCACATGAACATTCAAAAACTTAGTTTGGTCACAGGTGCCAGTGCCTGTGAAACCCACAAAAATTTACATGTGTGTGGACCAGGCAGGTGAGTTTCAGAACTCAGTTTAACTTGTTTGTTTTTAACCCCTGAGTTAAATCCATACCACAAAAACTTTGTATTATTTTGAAAATTTGCTCTATCAAGTTTTCTCAGCTCATTTTGTACCAAAATTACTCTATCACCCAAACTAAAATAGTCTTAATGAAAAATACTGCACTCCTAACACTAACTTTCCTAACAATGTGAGACAACTACTTTTTTAAAAAAAGCCTTGAGAGTAAAAAAAAAAAGGAATTCAACAAGGGGCAAAAATGTCTCTTTTAATGCTCAGTCCTGATTAATTTTTATACCGCACCTCAATTTAGCAGGAATATAGATGACAGGAGGTGCTAACAGATTACAGAATTCAAACTTTAAAACAAAGGGTAAACTGAGGAAATGACTGTTCAACTACTGTGCAAAGCTAGCATGGGGGAAACCAGGGCTCTTGGCACAGAGATCTTTAACAACAAAATGGATCTTTTGAGACCCAGCTAGAATGATCACTGAGCCAGTCATGGCCTTCTTTCCCTGTCTATACAGCTGTTTCTACATAGCTCACTGCTTATTAGGCAGTTTATCTGAAGATTACAGGGTGGGGGAAATAAAAAGAAAATTCAGGTTATTTATTTTACTGCTTATCAGATTCCATGACTAAAAGAGGTTTGACTAATATAAAACATGGAAATAAGTATGACCTGTTCAGCTGTGCTGCCTTCACAATAACTAAGAAAATTAACACTCTCTCTGTCTGATGAAGGTCTATGGAATAAACATTCCCTTGTTTAAATACCAGAAAGCATTACCTACCAGAAAAAAAGAAGGCATTAATTGGTAATTGGCTCAGTTTTCTTGAGTGAACTCTACCCCTTACCTGATATAAGTTGAGTGAGCAAAACTGATTTCCATTTCACTGTAAATTCTATAGTAATAACAAAGAGTCAAAATGGCACAACACTGTTTATTTCAAACTTCAAACAACATGAAGTGATGACTTCTGACACCAAACCATACAGTAATACTAAAGGAATAGAAAAAATATTAACAGAAAGAAAATCACTTTTCATAAGAGCAAGTGCTTCACATTTCACAGCAGTGCTTCAGCAGTACTGGCAAGTATTTCTGACAACTGCTTTCAACAACAGGATCTGAAAAAACCCATGACCAGAACAGAGAAGTCCACAGCTTCACCCTGACAGTTTACATTCCAAGTCACTCCACACCACACTGCTGCACTCACAGACTTTTGTAAACCTGACCTTAAAATGTAACTGGGTATTGTGCGTGATTGCAATGAAAACTACCTAAAAACAAAACAGAGTGGCAGAAAAGTAAACAAAGTTTCCCGTAAGGCATCAGGAGATCACTGCTGGCTGGCCCTTCATTTCACCAGCTTAAAGGAAAGAGATTTTTATTTCTCAGCAAGCTCAATGTTTCAGAAGCTTAGCCATCAGGCTCAAGTCTAAAGGTTTCAAAGACAGTCTTGCCCACCTCTTTTTTATTTTTTGGTAAATGTTTCATATAAAACATGAAATCAAGTTCTACTGTATAAAAAAAAACAATATTTTTCATAGTAAAAATATATATGTTTAAATTTCTCTTTTTAAAAAGACACATAATAACAATACTTCAGAAGACTGGATTTAACTTTCACTTCCCACATGGTCAGCAGTCCACCCTGGCACAGATACATTAAGGCAAAGGCTCCAGGAGAGGCACGTCCACCTTGGCTGTGGCTGGAGAGACTCAAGGTGAGCACACTGCTCCTCACAGGGTCAACAGAATGGCTTCTCCTTCATGTTCACTGAGCCATCCTGCATCCCAAAGTAGACTCTTTCTGCCATGTTAATGAACAGGCCTGTGTCCACCACACCTACACAACAAAGAATAAAAAGAATCATTGAGGTTCAGCCTCCCAAGATAAGAAGAGAATCAAGGATCATAGGGTCACGGGAAGCAAACATTTTAAGCAGCACTGGATAGTAACAAATCTAAAGCCTTGCTCTCCCACAAAGCAACTTAAAGAGATTCTGATTATCTTTATTTCTTCCTGCCAGCTCTTTCTCCACCCCACCCGGCCCTGAGGCGTTCTTTCTATACCCAAATGTGCAAGCTCTGCCCCACCACAGGGTCTTTGTCATGCTGCTCCCTTTGCCTGTCTGATCATCTTCAGATACTTCATGGAGTTGCTCTTCTTCACCCTTCCAATATACCAGACAAGTCCTCTTCTAGAGAGACTCTCCAAGACTACTCTAAGCAGCCCCCACTCTGTAATTTTCAATCACACACATACTCATGCCTAGTCTCCCGCAATTCTACGCCTAGATATGCAGTTGTTAGGTGTATGTATAATAAAAAAAAACACATATAAGATGAGTCAGGCACAGGGCTCACACCTATATACCTAGCTACTTGGGAGGCAGAGACTGAAGAATCAGGTTCTCGGCCAGCTTGGGCAAAAAGTTAGCAGGACCCCATTTCACCTAATGAAAAGTGTAAATAGGAAGATCGCAATCCAGGCCGCCTGGGTATAAAAGCTAGACCCTATTCAAAAATAACTAAAGTGAAAAGGGTTGTGGGTATTGCTCAAGTATAAAGTACCTGCTAGTAAGCATGAGGCCCTGAGTTCAAACCCCAGTACCACCAAAAAATAATTTTTTTAAACCACATATAAGATATCCACTGCAGCACTTTTCCTAACAGCTAAACACTGGGAATACCCAAATTCCCACCAAGAGTAGAATGGACACATAGATATGTTTCTTTCCACATACACACACACAGAGTGGAATACTATTCAGCAATGAGAATAAACTATAACTACATATGACCTTTACCTGAAATATTTACATACACACACACAGAGCAATGAGATAATATTAATCAACTATCAAAGAAAAAAAAGTATGATGAAAAGTGGTGTATAGGGAAAGAGGGGCATGCACACATTGCTGGTAGAAGAATAAGTCTGGTACTATCTGTGGAAGGCAATTTAACACCATCTAGCAAAATCCATGGACACACATAACTTCTGATCCAGCAAGTCTCTTCTAGCAAAAGACGAGAAACATAAACGTCCACTGGTGAGGATCTGGTTAAATAAATTATGAAATAATATTAACATAGCCATAGAATACCAGTTACTAAAAAAAAAAAAAAAAAGGATAAGATTGCCCTTTTGTGAACCAATACATAAGAGTCTCCAAGACAAGAAACAGTGGGAAACAGTACAGAACATGTACATAGTGTGCTGTTGCTTAGGTAAAAGGGGTATAGCAGGGGACTTTCAACTTATGAAAGACCATTTCAAAACAGACCAGATGATTTTTATTAGCATATAATAGTTGTACGGGGGAATACATTGTGATATTTACATATGTACTCACAATCTATCTTTGTTAGATTTAACCCCTCCATCATTCTCTCTCTTCCCCCCTTTCCTCCTTCTTAGAACAATTTCAACAGGTTTCATTCTTTTATTTTCATATATGAATACAAAATATATCCACCATACTCACACCCTTTCCTTATACCCACTGGTACTCACTCCTGGAAAAGACCTGTTTTACCCTCCTACCCTTCTTTTTTTTTTTTAAAAAAAAAAAAGTCATACAATGTTTTTGGTAACACTGGCTGCCTCCAGACAGGGTAACTAGCTGGTTATAAAAAAAGGAAGGGGAAGGGCACTTGCCACTATTTACTCATAATTTTGAACCAGGTAATTTCAAAAAGAAAATAAAATTTCCATGGACATCCTTCAATAAACAAACAAAATGGGCAATGAGTCACTAAACATAAAGATTCCTGGCACCAAACTGGACCTGTATAACTGGAGCCTCCCAAAGATGAACAAAATAGAACTTAAGACCCATTCTTGGGCCAAGCGCATGGCTCACACCTATAATCCCAGCGATTAGGAGGATCAGACTTAGAGGCCAGCCTGGGTAAAAAGTCAATGAGAGCCACCCCAATCAATAAACTGGGCATAGTGCCACATGCATGTAGTCCCAGCTGTGCCAGAGGCACAGGTAGAAGGATTACTGTCTAAAGCTAGTCCAAGGCAAAAATGTAAGATCCTGCCTGGAAAATAACTAAAAAGCAAAAAAGGGACAAGGCATGACTCAAGCAGTAGAACACCTGCCTCCAAGCCTAAGAACCTAAGTTCAAATCCCAGTACCATCAAAAAAATAAGAAAAAAAAATTTCTAAACCTCTGCAACAGGGCTGGCATAGTGGCTTAAGTGGTAGAGCACCGGTCCTGAGTTCAAACCCCAGTATCACCAAGGGAAAAAAGAAAAAGAGCCAGAACCATATAAATAATTTGACAATTTTGCTGGTGAAATGGCTCAAGTGGTAAGAGTATCTGCCTAGCAAAGTGAGGCCCTGAGTTTAAACCTCAGTGCCACCCCACCCCTCAAAAAAAAAAGAAAGAAAAGAAAACCCACCTCTGCAATATAAGGTGAAAGCTTCCATCTGACCCCAGAGAAAATCAAACTGCCTTCAGAAAAGGCTTTAAAGAGAAAAGAGAATAAAACAAGAAAAAAAGAGGAAAAAAAAAAAAAAAAAAGCATGACCTTGGAGTAACCTCTTCAACTTACTGAGTTGCTGGGAGTAGCTGATCCTCTTACCCCAAATAAAACACAGTGGAAAGGACAGAGGACACTAAATGTGAACCATGATGAAAACACTCTGATGACTTTGGTCCTTCAACAAAGAGGTACTCTGCTCCAGGCAGACCCAATCAAACATCCAATGGAGCTGTTCTCTAAGTGTCCTCACCTGTGCAAATGCACATGGAACACAGGCAACTGGGGTCAACAGGGAGAATGGCACTGTTCTCCACCCTTAATATTGCTCCAACAACAAATCTAACAGGTAAAACCAAGGAAAAGGAAAAAATAAGCAAAAAGAAACCACTATGTTATCAAACCTGCTGATAACATATTACTTGGTTTAATAGCTAGCTTTTTTTTTTCATTTTTCTCATTCTAAGTTCTAATAAAACTCTGAAATTCTCTAAGATGTAGCTCCTACATACTTAGGTGGACAGCAAGACAGTGAAAATTCCCTTACAAAGAATATCTCAAAGTTTCAATAAGCCAAAAAATGGCCTGAGCAGGAGCAAGTAAGCCCCCTAGTGAGCACTACAAGAAATGCACCTACAGAGGAAGCATGCAGGCATGGGTGAGCTGTTTCCAACCCTACACTGCGCCCCCTGGGTGTGTCTACATTATCATCAGGAGCAAGTTCATCTGTTTTACTAACAGTGACTTCTACATCATCTATTCCTCCTGTCTTTTTTGGCTTTTTAGCCTTCCGCTATATAAATAACACTAACCAAGAGAATGAGTATAATTCAATTTATCTTTTTGAATTAATAAATTGGGTAAAAATTGGCAAGAGAAGACTAAAACAGACTAGAGTTGGAAGAATTAGCTTCCTTTTTCACACAGCATATATTCACACCATTTTCATTCCCAATTAGCAGGATAACTCAGAATCCAGTATGTTTAGTTAATGGTGAAGATAGTAACCTTTCTCCCTAAGAATTATTCAGATTAAAAACACTTCCTGTGTGGTCAGTGTTTTAACTCATTTAATCCTCCCAACAATCCTACTATTAGCCCAATTTATAGAGGAAGAAACTGAAGCCCAGAGATGTTAGATACAGCTCCAAGTTCACACTGCCAAAGGATGGCAGGGATAGGATCCAGTCTGCTCCCAAAATCCACTCTTAGTCACTATACTTTGCAAAAGTGACCTTATCTGCTTCATTAACCAATACTGGCTTAGACTGTGTTTCTCAATGTTATAAAAGACTGATACCTCTCGAATACCTCCTCCTTTAAATCCCCTCATATGAGCCCTCAATACTTTCTCTGGCTTGGACAAAGCCTCAAGAGTTATAATTCACTTCTACACCACTCTCCCTATCTTCTTACCCAGGGCTCCAACCAGCTCCTACTCCATCATTCCCTGGCACAAGCTGCACATTTATGTTACACAACATCCCGAGTTTGGGCAAGTGAGCATTTAAGATCAGGGTCTAGAGGCAGACAACCTATAATTCATCTTGGTGCTACAGCTGTTGGGCAAATGCTTCAGTCTACTCAGCCTGTGTTCTCTGTAATGAACTCATCCAACTGGGAATCAAATGAGAGCCTTTTAAACACTGAGCACAGTGTCTATATTACACTATCCTAAGGCACAGGTCAAAAACACCTCTACACCCTGAACTTCCTCACCTTCCAAAAGAAGCAGCCTCTGTGCACTCTAGATCCCTACTATTCTTCTGGCAGAATTAGCGTATTCCATGTTATTGACAAGGATGGCTTCACAGAGCCACAAAGCTTTCCCTAGGTTTATACCAGCTCTCCTTGAGAATTGATTCCATGTACCATAGACTGGAGCATCCCATGTAACTCAAGGCACAGCATCTTGCCTATGATATGTATTCAATGAGAGTGGGTCAAGTAAGTCATTTCCACCCCCACTGCTAAGAAGATAGCTCACAAAGATCAGAGAGGCTGCAGTCAAGCTCCTGAAAGGAAAGACTCTACTCAGAGATGGTGGCCTTATTTCAAGGTAAGCCCCGTCTGACTTTCCATCAGCTCCAGGACTATCCCAATGAACTCAAAAAACACTGAACTATACACACACACCAAAGCTACTAGGTAGGCAATAACCACTCCTGTGGGGAAAAAGCAAAGGAACTCAAGTTAAAAACCCCAAACACAGTACAAAGAATTTCTTCTTCCCAACGAAGTCTCACAAAGCCCATGTCCATCAAGCCTTCTCTGGCCAGAAGCAGGAGACAGTTATAAAGGACATGGTGACCCTGTCCAGTGAATGTCATCAGGTTACCTGGGATCATTTTGATAGCTGTGTTCACTTCACTCCATTTGTGTACCCGGTCAAACTTCCAGTCCAGGATAAAATTTCCATTATCTGTCACCACAGGTCCCTAGAAGATAATTTTCCATAATAACTAAGAATGAAGAAAAAGGTAGGCAGAGGACAGGAATGAAGGTGATAACCAAAGACATCTATCCTAATTAATGGGCTCCAGTCAGTACTCCTGCTTTGTGTTTTCTAGAAGGTAGCACTGTGAAACAGTAGTGAGCAGTGATAGAACAATAATGTCACCATTTTGTGAATCAGCCAAAATGGCAACCCCACCCTTAAACAAACTCCCATGCTCTAAGACAGCCCCACCTCTACCAGAGACTACTGAGCATGTGCTAACTTCCTTCCCCTCCCCCTTCTATAAAAGCCACTGCACCCAGACTCAGGGCTGTGCCATCTTTTCCCCGGACAGCCTGGCAGTTTGGGCCTGCCATTAAACTTTGCTCTGTGGACGTGAGACTTTTCTCGTGAGCTTTCTTTGTGAGCGGCCTTTTTCCTAACATTTGGTGCCATGACTTGGATTGGGTTGAGTTCCCGGCACTGACTTGCTCTCCTGGCCTCCCCCACCCCATAGCTCCCTCCCTCCCTCCCTCCCTCTCTCTCAATTCCCATTTCCTTCCTCCAGGATCTGAGCTGCTTTACTGGGACCCCCAATCCTAGAAAATGCCACTTTCTCACTAGCTCACAGGGAAGTTCCTCCACCCCAGGGCACCTCCAACTGCCATCCACCACCGGCCAATCTTCCCTCAAGGTCCTCTCTCCCTCAGTGAGTCCTCCTCGCATGCTGAGCTGTGGTCTCTCTCTCTCTCATTTCCTCGAAAACCCTAGCGCTAGGTCTCAGCTCGCTCTTGTCCCTGGGAACAGTTCCCCACTTGGGACTATGGAACCCCCCCCCACCGTGATGAAGACATTTCTTCTGGGTGTTGTGTTCCACATTTCTCTCTCTCTCCTGAGGACCTGATATTTTGGGGATGCCCACCATAGCTCTCCTCAGGTCAGGACTTCACCATGGGAGTTGGACTGTCCCAAATTCCTTCAGACTCCCCATTGGGATGTCTCCTGGCAACCTTGGGCCCCTACGCCTAATGCCTGATCTTAAGCCATGAAAGCTCATTTTTCTCTGTAATCAGGCCTGGCCCCAATACCCATTAGACAATGCCTCCAAATGGCAACTTAATGGCATTTTCAATCCCAATAGTTTAAGGGATATACAATCTCTGTGAGCGTGCTGGTAAATGGAAGGAACTTTCCTACATCCAATCCTTTCCCTATCTCTGCATCAAACCCTCCCTCTGTACTTTCTGTTCCCCTGCACAGATTCTATTAGCCTATAAACCAGTTTCTAAATCAACCAATTCCTCTCCCAAACCTCCTCCTTCCCCATGTAAACAGACTTCTTGCACTGCTTACCATATCTGTCTCCTCCTATTTTCCTGAAAAACTTTCCCTGACATAGAGTTAAGCAAGCCACTCCTTGCCAACTCTGGCCTCAAGGCGATTCCAACTCTGGGAGAGTTCATGCTCCCTTCCTCTGGACTGGGACCAAGCCCAGGGTTTATTCAGGTATGCCTCATGCTACATTGGCGGAATCCTGTTTGATTATGTCATCTGACGACTGCTTCTCTTCCCCCTCCCATCTAATGTCCCTTTTTCCTGAGACAGCAACTGGAGAGTGGAGGATTTGTTTTGCTGAAAGTGTTCCAGTACCAGTCAATGGAAGTGACCTAGAGGCACAGGTGATCACTAATCCCTCAGACGTGTCATGTCTCCAGGCTCTGCCTTCCCCTCCCTTACCTAAGATGTCAGCACACCTTTTCTGCTCCTCCATGGTCTCACCGCATGTCCTTTGTCTCTGTCTGCCTTCCCCTCCCTGGGCTTACTGGGACCCTGCCTCCCATGAAAAACCTGTAGCATGGTACCTTATGACTTAAGTTATTCCAACTAGTTTGCCAGGCTTCCCAGTCTAAAGTAACTTTAAGTCAGCTGCTTTACAAAAAGCGCTTACAAAAGACTGTGGCTGCCACGCTTATGCCGTAACTCCGCCCCCACAAAGGGAGGAGGGGAAGCAAACAGACACACTAGTGCACAGGATGCCGGCTCCTAGACACAGCAAAAACGCCTGCCATAGCTAAGAAAATCCATAGAGAGGACCCAGCACATCCTGGGCCACCAGCCACATGTGGCAATGGCTATGGCCCACCGCCACTTCCCCTAGAATAAACGCCCGCAGAGTACACAGGAAGGGGGGGAGGGGTGACAGGCCGCAGGATCAGACCTAGGCAGTCAGGGTCATTTGTCCCGGGTGTGTGTGGAGGGCAGTGGTGCCTTGTACAAGTCCTGCTCCTAGCCCCACCTCACACCTCCGGGCATCAGACCCAGCCTTTGTAAGTTAATTGTTAGCTCAAGGTTATAGTCCCAGAAATAGCAAAATAGACATTACTGTAGTCTCTAAACTTCTCATTTAAAATTTTCTATACCTTTGGCCTCAACATAAATTTTTCCCTCCAAATATTAACACTAGTTGTCCTGTATTGTACTGTTATTGGCCTGAAATGCCCTCTGAATGCCCTTCTCTAACTTTACAAATAATTTATTTCTTTGTTAAAAAGGTAGACTTTATTAAAGAGGCTGCCTGCTATTAGCTAAAAAATGGGATCCTAGCGTTTTGTTCTTTCTAGATGTACCTGCCCCATTCCAGTCTTCTGGCTGTATGTTATATTAAAAGCTTTGTACTGAGGACTGGCCTCAATATGCCTTGGGTGACCAAAAGAAGTGGCCTTCACAGGGTTCCTTAAATTACAATACCATACTCCAATTAGACCTTTTCTATAAAAGTAAAAAAAAGTAAACTGAGGTCCCCTATACAAATTTCTACCTTCTAAGCCACCCCAATACTCAGAACCTCTTAATGAGTGCTTCCCTCTTCAATAGGCAATGGTAGGAAGAGGGCAAGTCTTATGTCCCCTTCCAGTTATCAGATCTAAGGGAAATTTAAAAACATCTAAACAGCTGTACTGATGCCCAGACAAATACATCCAAGCCTTTATCTCTGTGATCCAAACCTTTCAACGGACATGAAAGGATATTATGCTTCTACTAGACCAGACTCTTATCTCATTAGAAAAGCAATGGGTTCTGGCCCAGGCCACTCAGGTTGGAAATGATTATATGGCTCAAGCAGTAGAGTGCCACTTTACAAGCATAAAGTCCTGAGTTCAAGCCCAGTACTGCCAAAGTAAAAATAATAATAATAATAATTGGGGCTGAGGAAGTAGCTCAGTGGGAGAATGTCTGCCCAGCATGTGCAAAGCCCTGGGTTCAAATCCCCAGCATTACTAAAAAAAAAAAAAAATGGTAAAGAAGGTAAATGGCATTAATGTCACTTCAGCCATCTCACAGTGGAAAAACATAGTTTAACCTAGACCAGATCCCTCATTCTTCAAGTGAGGAAACTGAGGCCCAGAACAGTTCAGAGACCTGCTCTCCAGAGTGTCAGGTGTCAATGTAAAATAACAACTTTACTTTACAGCAACAACCTAAAAAAAAAAAATCCTCTTACCTTTCTACAACATCTTAAGGAGGCTACCAGAAAGCATACCAAAATGGACTCAGAGTCACAGGTGAGAGAGGTTCTCCTCAAAGATAAATTTCTAACAGTCAGCCCCAGATATTCGTAAAAAAACTCAAACTGTGGCTGAAGGGAAAAAAAATCATTGAACCAAGTGATACAGCTAGCCATGTCTGTATTCATAGCTATGTCTGTATGTCCGGGACCTTACTAACAGGAGAGAAAAAACAGACACCATGGCCTCATTGCTGCTCTCAGAGAGGGCCCCACCCAACTGGGGCCTGTATCCTAAACTTGCTACCATGGTGGACAGGAGGGGCACTTCTGCAGAGAATGCTTAAGAGGGGACAGCCCGGGAGACAGCCCCGCCCCCAACCAGGACCCTGCCCTCTCTGCAAGGGTAACCACTGGAGGTCTAAGTGCCCCCATCACCAGATGGAAGGCGAGGTGCCACCTCCTATGGATTTATGGGTCCCCTGTCCACTCCACTTCTTATATCAATTTGAGGAGCCTAGGTAGTCATAATGGTAGAGAAGTGAAAGATCATTTTCCTCCTAGACAGTGGAGCCCGTTTCTCTGTTTTACCTTTTTCTCCTGGTCCCTGGTCCAATGACAAAAATTATCATTTGGGGCAAATCTGGCAAGCCCCTAGAGCGCTAGCTTACCTGGCCTCTGGCCTGCTCTTGGAGAGACCTCCTCTTCTGTCACTCTTTCCTCATAGTACCTAAAACTCCAGTGTCCCTGCTGGGACGGGTTTTACTATCTCAATTAAAAGCTCAAGTTCTCCTCCCCTCAGGCAGCTACCTTTGCTGCCCCCTCCTTCAGGAACAAAGAGATTCCACAGTGTGGACTGATGAGATGAGTGTAGGGTGGGCCAGGACAGCCCTCCCTAGTCAAATAAAACTCAAAAATCCCTCACAGTTTCCACACCAAAACAACATCCCTCAAGCCTGAGGGATGATGAGGCCTTATGCCTACCATAATTTCCTTAAAGCAACAAGGGCTACTAATTAGTTGCTTTGGCCCCTATAATAAATTTAAAATTCTTATAAAAGTTAATTTTAAAATACAAGTTACAAAGTAAACAACTGGAAAGCATATAGATAGGTAGTGAATGTATTTTTTGAGAAGTTAAAGGAAAAAGAAATGTTTTTAGATGAGCAAGGATTTTGTAAAGAAGGGTTTGTCCTAAAGATTGTTTCAAATAGGAGGGATAAAGACAAACCATCAAAGGGTTTAGTATGTTATATAAAGGTCTAAGTAAGTTTTAAAAGTGTATAAAAAGATTCAATGTGTAATAAAGTTAAAGTTGAGTATAATCTAAGAGTTGCTTAAAAGATTTTTAGGGTCATGTCAAACTAAAATCAAATCCTCTATGTCTATAAAATAACAAAGTTATCTTAATATTGTTCTGCTCTGAGTAACATCTACAAAAAACAGTTACATAAAAAGATTTTATCAAAGAAATTATTTGTTTTCTGCTGATCTTGTCAAGCTTTAAGTACCACTTAATCAGAGTTCATTTACATATTTGTTTATGTGTTTTAAATGACCACCTTATAACAGTGTTATGTTATACTTTATCTAAATATGGTACAAATATTTAAAAAGTTAAGTGTCAATTTATATAAAATGATGAGCTAAAGCTCTCTTTTATCCAAGAGTGTTACATTTAAATCCTGACAGCTCCTGCCTCCTACAGGTCACCTACCTAGGTGTGGTCTTAAGGGGACACTCACTCCGAGTCATAAATGCATCAACCCAATCTTCTGTTTCCCAACCCCCATACCATAAGACAGCTTACAGCTTTCCTGGCAGTTGGTAGGATTTTGCAGAATTTAAATCCCTAGGTATGCAGTCCCTGAGCAGACACCTTTTTATGCTCCTTCTAATATTCCTATTTGGGTCTTAAATAATGTATGGCCACCCATTTCTCTTAGAAAACTTACCTCCAACAGACTCTGATCCTCTGGCTGACTACCTGCCTTCTCAGAGAACTTCTCAGAGAGCATGCAGACCAGATCCTGTCCCACCCCATAACAATTTCTGTTAAATCAGGGCATCTTGTTCTCCTAAAAGGATCTTCTACCCTCTCTGTTGGGACTTTGGTCGACCAGCACTCATCTTGTCATTCTCATGACACCCACTGCTGTCAAGCTCAATGGGTTCCCCAATGGCGGCACCTCTCAAGAAACAATTAGAAAGATGAAGAAGGGAATTGGAGGACTCTTGAAATTGTCTAGGGAACAACATTTCACAGTGGTTCTCCTGGCCAACGCCCATCCTAATGCTTATGTTTCTTGCTCTCCTAGCTTCCTCCCTCGTATCATACTACATGTCTGCTATTGCTAATCAAAAGTTTAACTAGTTGTACCTCCAGGGATATCAACCTCTCCAAAACCATCCAGAGGACTGCTATGAGGGCCCCCACCAGGACACGGGAGCCTGAGGATCCTGCCCCATACAGCACCCTCTGCCAGCAGGAAGGAGCTAAAGAGACAGATGCTTCACCCCAATTCCTGATCCTCAGCCCCTACCCTCATAATTATTAAAGAAAAAAATGGGGGAATGATAGAACAACAATGTCACCATTTTGTGAATCAGCCAAAATGGTAGCCCTGCCTTTAAACAAATTCCTACACTCTAAGACAGCCCCACCCCTACCAGAGACTACTGCACATGCACTAACTTCCTTAACCTCCCCCTTTCATAAAAGTCACTGCTCACCCAGACTCGGGGCTGCCCCATTTTTTCCCTGGCCAGCCTGGCAGTTTGAGCCTGCCATTAAACTTTGCTCTACGGATGTGAGACTTTTCTCGTGAGCTTTCTTTGTGAGCAGCATTTTTCCTAACAAGCAGGAGTTTTAGAGTCAGAAAGACTTGAACTGGAGTCACAACTCCCCCATGATCAAGAAATCCCATCAAAAAGACAGGAAGCAGAGACAGCGTTAGTAGTCAAATGGGCAGGGGAGAGTTTTAGTTAATTAATTCAGAATTCCTCAACAGCTTTGAACCCTAAAAAAAGCAGACTGAGTGTTTAGGAACACAAATGACCAGGGTCACTGTCAAGGAAACTAGAAATTCCCGCAGCTGGAAGGAGATGGGGTGGGAGTTCAATTGGTTACTCTGTGAAGTGAGGGCTGGGCTGCTACCAGGATTAACTCCAGCCATGGAAAAAGAACCTCCACAACTTCCTCCTGGCCTCTCAGCTACAAAGGGAGCCATGAAACATCAATGAGAGCTTTGTAACAACTGTGACTAAGACTACATTTTTTTTTAGGTTTAAAAAAAAAAAAACACTAAGAAGAAAACATGTAAAATAAAAATATCATGCAGTGCACAGGTGGCTCATGCCTATAATCCTAGCTACTCAGGAGGAAGAGATCAGGAAGATCTCAGTTTAAAGCCAACCCTGGGCAAATAGTTCCTAACCCTATTTCAAAACAACTTACAACAAAAAAAGGGCTGGTGAAGACCCTGAGTTCAAACCCCAGTACTGAGAAAAAAAAACAGGGTATAGTTATATATCACTTATTTTCTGTCTTCCAACCTTTTTACAATTATACATAAAACTATATTTAGATTTTAGATTATTAACTTTTGTTTATTTAGTAAGAGAAAAAAAGTTCTTCACAATCCACTTTAGAAGCTGAAAACACCCAGACTGAAGTGTCAAGAATGTATTCCTAAAGAATACACCTCCAACAAAATATTCACTTGTCACATTTTAGCATAGAATGAGAGAAAAGAGAAGAAAAATTATAGTACAGAACCTGAAAAACTCTGCCCCAGGGGACTTCCCAAAAGCAGTCTAGTAGCTGTTCATTAGGGTGGTACAAGCTTCAGGTACAAAGGTCAGATCACCTGAGAACCCCAATTGCGAAGGAATAGAAAGAACCATTCCCCCTTTTGTACAGAGGATATGTACTATATTAAGTATCATCTTAAGCTCATGAAATTGAATACAGAAACTGATAAAGCCAACTCTCTAAGAACTAACAAACTTATCAAAAATAAACAAGTTAGGTCCAGAGACCTAACTTGAGGAGAAATGAGAACATCAGAGCCTGAGGGGCCTCTGGAAACTCCCCTGACCACTTACTGCCTTGTGGACAGCCATTCGAAGTTCAACTTCGCCCCCAAACTTCCGTGTCACAGCTCGGCTCACTGGGACGTAGGCCATTGGGATGACCTCAATAGGGGATACCCTTGTGCCACTGATCCCCAAGGTTCTTTGAGTCTTTCCTAGGGAAAAAAAAAAAGAGTCCAAAAGCACAATGAAATTAAGTAAGTTCAATGGCACAAACATCAACTTCAGGAATGGGTTAGCTACATGGACTGGTCAAAAATAATGCCCATCGATAGTAAATATAAGGGGCTTCTTATAGCCCCTTATAGGTATTAAAGTTATTGGCTGCTTTACAATTTATGAGATGTTTGAAATAAATGTGACAAAAATGTTAAAATTTTATATATCTGACTTGTTTATTATATTTATGTTTTTAAGTATAGGTGTTTATTATCTGTGCTCTCCCTACAGCTATATTTCACAAATAAATGCACACAGATTTTTTTAAAACAGGCTCAGCACAAGTGCCTCCTCCCAGACTCCTTGAAATAGAATCTGAGAGCCTGTCAAAGACTGTGCCCAACATGAGTCATGTGTGGCCAGTCCTGACCCCAGAGGAATCAAAGCATGCTGAGTCACTGCCTGTGGGCAGGGCTTGCCCTGCTTCCTGAGGCTCCCTGTGAAGATCTAATGAGTGATACATGAGGATGAGCTTGACTAGCAGAGCTAGTTTCCTTCTCTTCCCCATGAAAACATGAAATAGTGCTGGATATCCCAGCTCAGTGTAAGAATGAGGCAATCAATTAGCAATATCCACCTTCAAAATGGAAGCAAGATTCAGAGACACTTCCCTAAGTCCTCACCGTCAGTCTCAGAAGGCCAAGAGTCCCTGAGTTTCTCTATGAGCTTGCTCCTCTATAAATAGGGATGAGGTTTGAGAGCCAATCTACCTTCCCAGCAGGAAGCTCAGAACACTGGACACTACCTGAAATCAGCAATCACGATGAACCGACTGGCATAGCCAGCCACAATCTTCTCCTGGGTCAGGCAGCCCCTGAGGATGGGAAAGAAGGAAGTGATAACAGGAGTTAAGACAAATCTCAAATTGAGAGCTAGGTTCAGATACGTTGAATCTCACATCTGCTGAATCCTGACACTTAAAGAGAAATTTAACTTTTTGTTTTTAACAAGTCATCCTCAATCCCATCAGGCTGCTTCCAGTAAATAGACAATAGCAACATCTGCCTGTATCTGAGAGAAATCTAGAAAGTAGATAGTAGTTCCCATTCAGGCCAGGCATAATCCCCTCCAAGATGAATTTGAGAACAGCACTGTGTTTAGGGACATGCCCTCTAGACATGGGCTGAGAAAGACAAGCTTTGAACAACCCACTCTGTGGACTACTATTTGTCAGTCAGGGTGAAGGAGTGGAGAGAACCCCAGACACTGAATCGGCAGATCTGGGTCCAGCCTATCTCTGCTGCTCACCAGTTAAATTACTTCATATCTGCAGCTAGGATGATTACATAACACTTATTAAAAAAAAAAAAACTACACAAATATTTTGTCATTCAATAATCTGCTTGATTGTTAAGAACCAGCAGAATAGGACTTCCTTCATCTTTTTCCACTTATCATTCCCTAAGCCTCTCCCCAAACCAGCACGTAAGAAACACCCAATAAATGTTTTCAAATAAGGAACTGCTCACAGATGTAAGAGCAGCTTTAAAGCAAAGGCCACAGACCTAACAATCTAGTCCAATAACATTCTGGGTTAGCCTGTATACAGATATACAAAGAACCCATTAAGATGAATAATCTCACTGGAGGCTTAGGTTCCCAGTCACCAGATTAACACTAATGACCAGAAATAGCAAGCTGGCTCAAAGGCATATGGTATCAGCATCCTAGTAGGAAGACAAACGCATATATCACAGTGACAATTTGTTTATTCTGCATCCAATTTTGCTTTACTAAGCACTAACTGGCAGATATTTTTTAGCCAGAAAGTCCCCACAATACTCACCCACCACCCTTAATGAGATTGAGATCAGCATCTACTTCATCAGCACCATCAATGGCAAGGTCAATCTGTGTCAGGAGGAGGAAAGATGCAAAAACCACTAAGAACCTCATGAGCCTAGGCAGATTCCCAAGCTTGACCATGAAATGATAGCTCATTAGGCCCTCAGCAGCTCTATTAACTAGGTCCAGTATTTTCACTTAACCAATCAAGAGACTGAGACACAAACCTCAGTCCAGCTCTTACTCATGACACTATACTCCTTTTTCTCTTTAATGGGCTTCTCAATGGACAAGATAGAGTTACTCAAAGCATATATTCTCAATGGCAACATTGCTTTCAAAAAAATAAAAATTGACTCTAGGGATGAGGGAGTAAGGGCAAAAAATCTCAGAGAAAGGTTTTGGGCTTCCCAAAGGGCCACAAGTATATAAACACATATGGTACATCTGTGGTATTAAATTCCACAGGAAAGGGAAAGGTTAAAAATAATTTCAAAAAAGGAGCTGAGGAAAAGTGATTCAGAAGTTGGTACTCATGTGAGCAAATACAGGTAAATTTCAGGTGGACAAGAAGACCAGCCAGATGATAGCTCACGTCTATTTGGGTGGCTGAGATTAGGAGGATCACAGTTTGAGGCCAAGCCAGGCAAACAGTTCACAAAACCACATCACCGGTTGGGGGCAGGGGGGAGAAATGAACCAAGCCTTGTATGCACATATGAATAATAAAAGAAAAATGAAAAAAAAAAAAAAAAAAAAGACCACATCACCAAAATTACAGGGCAAAAAAGGACAAGTGTGGCTCAAGAGGTGGAGTACCTGCTCTGCAAGCACGAACCTGAGTTCAAACCCTAATCCTGCTAAAAAACATTTTAAAAAGATATCACCAAAGAAGCTGACAAATATTTAGTATATTCCTAAATTGGAAATTACCTGAGATATTCCCCCTAAAACCTCACAAAGCAACTGACTGCATAACCCAATCCCTGTATTAGGAGCCTTCACTGCCAGTCTCGAGCCCCAAAAGCAGCTGAGGGACAATGGATTCATTCATCTTTCAAAAATCAAAATCCCTGAAGTTGGATTTCTCAGTACTGATGGTACTCTGCATGGACAACGTGGAGACTTCAGGTGTCAGTTTTTTTCAAGCAGCAGTATCAAGGGACATATTCCATTCGTGTTGCACTTGCTTGAAGTGACTGGTGTGGCACAGGTATGAAGTCCAGTTTTGTGCAGGGCACCCTTATTCTCATCCTTTCAAGAAGTTGTCTGAAGCTGCAGCTTGCATTGCTCCTCTCCTAACCTACACTAACCCTAGGGTCAGGCTGCACTGTATCAACTCTCCAGGGCCTGGAAGGTGCCACCTTTTCTATCTGGACCCTGGGCCCATCTTCAGCCCAAGCACTGTCCTCATAGATAATTCAGCCTATGCTTCTAACTCTACCCACAAAAATCCCCCTAATGAGCCTTTCCCATGGATCTTACTAACCCCTTAAGGCCTTATGTACCACTACAACATGGATTGCTAGACTACATCAAGTCCCCTGCCTTCACCCCACTATGTACCACCACTCCATTCAAATCACCTCCTGAAAGTCTGGGCACTGTCCACATTATGCCCACATACCCTCAGAAAGCTGCTTTCCTGCCCATGCCATGGAGGCTTTGCCTCTTCCCCCAACTCTTCTAATGGTGCTCTAGAACCAGAAGTGCACAAGTTCCTTAAGCAAATGACATGCCCTCGCTGTGCCATTTTTACATCCATAAATTGGGAAAATAGCATAATTATCCATCGTCAAGACCACTGGATATTAAAGATCTTACTACAGGAGAAGCACCTAGCACAATGCCTGATAACTTATAGTGGCACTAAGATGACTTACGATGTTACCACTCATCTTCAGTCTCCTCTGGAGTACCCCTGCGTTTAGCAGTCTTTAACACAAAATTCAATTCTAATCAGTTTTCAAATGTTCATGGCTGCCTCAGATGATGACTTCTTATCTCCACTTACATGTAAGCTCCTTGGGCCAGCCTACTCGTGTATCTCTGCTTAAGAAAGAAATCTCAGGGAGCCCTGAATCCAGCCCTGGGTTTGTCCAATTCTCCTTTACTATACTTGTACTGAGTCCTCCAGGTTACATCCCAAGTAATCCAACCTGTACTGAACCAACCTCCAACTAACCTCCTCTCCAACTGTGACCTCAGTCAGGATTAATATTCAGGATCCCAAGAGAAAAGTTAGTATGACTAACTTGTCTTCTCCTAGACTTGCCAAGATATCTGGATTCCATGAACAAGTGACAGTCACAAAAAAAAAGAGAGAAAGACACAGTATTAAGTCTCTCTCTCTTACCTCTGGGTGTCGATCCAGGTCACTGAGGGTTAAGCCATACTGAAGGATGAGCTGCCGTGCCTGGGAAGAACAAGAAAAAGCTCCAATAATCATTTACTCTGAACACATACATGGCAAGGATCCTCAGAATTCTTTGGGTTAAAGAATTCTCTGGGTTAAGTGCCAAACCCAGAGGCCTGACCCAAGTTCCCTCTTAAATCCCAAGCCAGCCCAGGATATAGGCCCACAAATGGCAAGACTAGCTGCTAATCCACTCTGGGAGCTGAAAAAAGGCAAAGAACACATAGTAAAGACTTCATTCTAATGCTGAGCTAAGAGTTCCTCCCTACTTACTTGCTCCTTGAAACAATACCATGGTCCTCCTAAAACTTCTGGCAGTACCTGTTTTTAAAAAGTTCTTAAAGCCAGATGTGATGGTGCAGGCCTATAATCCCAAGCACACAGTAGGCTGAGGCAGCAGGATCTCAACTTCAAAACCAGCATGAGTGGGCTACACGGTGAGTTCAACATCACACTAGGCTGTATTTTGAGATCCTGTTCCAAAAAAACAGGGCTGGAGATGTAGCTCAGTGGCTGAGTACTCTACTACCATACTCAAGGCCCTAGATTTGATCTCCAGCGCTGCAAAAACTAAAATTCCTAAAATAAGAACAGAGTCCACAAAATATTAGAAAGGGTTATAAAATAATCGAACAAGCTGGGCACAGTGGTGCACATCTGTAATCCCAGAACTTGACAAATTCAGAGTACAAAACTAGAAGAGCTTTAGGATGTTTATGTTGAAAAAAGGAGCATCATTTACTTTAGAGACATGCCTCACAGTTAACCTTCTAAAAAGGTTAAAGGTAGTGGAAATATTATGTACTCATGTATGAAAATGGAAAAATGAGACCTGTTGAAACTGTTCCAAGAACAGGGAGAGGGAAAGCAAAGGAGAATGATGGAGGGGGTGAATTTAACTAAGATATATTGCAAAAACTTTTGTAAATGTCACAAAGCACTCCCCATACAAAAATAATATAATAAAATTAGGAAAAAATAAATGCTTTGTCATTTAATAAACAAACAAATAAGCAAGCAAGGTGACAAAATTGGAGAGCAGTAGCTCAGGCCATGACATGGCCCTGAGAAGGATTCCTAGCTAAAAAGGTGCTGGGGTAGCTTCACATCTGACCACCCAGGTCCAGATGCTGAGGGATTGTGTTGATATCACTGGTTACAATATGCAGAAAAACCAAGGATAGAAAATTATCCTAAACTTGTTTCCCTTTAAAATATTTTCTGCTTAAAGTGAGTAGCAACTAAGATTCAGAATCAGGTACAGGTTCTAACCTTAAATAAACCAGTATAAAAAAGAAAAAGAGGAAGAAAAGAAAAACCCAATGCAGAAAAGGGGAACTCTTATAATACTACTGGTGGCAATGTAACTTACTACAAACTACCACATGACCTGGCTATCCTGCCACTTATTATATCACCAAAGGAAGCAAAATCAGCATTATTAAAGATAAACCTGTACTGCTATACTTACTGCAGCACTCTTTCTAACAGGCAAGGTACAGTACCAACCTAAGGGTCCATCGATGGACAAATGAAGAAAATGTGGTCTATCTATGCAGTGAAATAGTATTCAGCCATTTTTTAAAATTGGAATCCTGTCATTTATAGCAACATAGAAAGAACAAATAGAACTGGAGGACATTATATTAAGTGAAATAAGTCAGGTACAGAAGAACAAATATCACATATTCTTTTTCATATATGGAAGTAGAGAGCAGAATAGTCGTCACTAAGAAGCTAGAAGGAGGGGGGATTCCAAGATGGCAACTAGAGGGAGGAAGCAGAAAGCGTGCCTCCTAAAGTAAATCTCAGAGAGACGCTGGAGACACACCTTACAGGAAAAACCACAGAGAAGAGGCAAAACTTTGACTTCTCCACACCTCCATCCTGCACAGAGCATCTCCACTTCACATTAAAGAGAGAAACGAGGAGGGCACCTGAGCTGCCGCCAGACACCGGCACCCAGACGGCTTGGGAAGACGCGGACCACAAGGTGAGCTAAGCAGTACGCGGTACTCCCACAGACAACCCTGGGCCAGATCAGCATAGCCCCCTGCACAGATTGACCCCCACCCAGGGAAAAAAGAAAAACTGAATAATAAGCAATAACAACAACAACAAAAAAAGACAGTAGCAGAGAGGGTGGGGTGCCCTGAGCACCGAAGAGAGGGGGAGGGAATCCTTCACAGAACTGTAAATAAACAAGCTGGGCCAGAGAAGGCAGGAGAGGCAGCACACGCCCAGCAATCAGGAGCAGGAAAGCTTGTAAAAGTGGCAGTGGGAGGAAAACTCCACAGGAGAGGGGGAAGACCCACTTCCCGTGTGAGCTGTAAATAAACACACCAGCCTGAGAAGCAGGTGCAGTGTCACCTCCCCCAGTGTGCTTGGAAAGGGGAAAGCTTGTAGCAGCGGCTTGCGCACAGGAGACTCTAAGTAAACAAAGCCTGCAGGGCCAGGTGAGTGCTAAGCTCACCCGAGATCTGCATAAATAACGCCTCCAGCAACAGCAGGCTGACAGCAGCAGATAGCCATTCACAGACCTGTCTCCAGACTCTTTTTTTTCTCTCTCCCTACCTTTGATGAGCCAACAACCGAACTACACCTGCATGATGAAAAACATACTGAAACTGTACTGCATTTGAAATTGGGACACTTTGTGGGATTTTCTGTTTTGTTTAGTGCGGTTTTGTTTTATTTTGGTTCTTCCAGTCTTTTTCCCCTTTGGTGAGATAACCACAGAACTACTTCTGAGGCACCATCTCCAGGAATTGGAGGCTGAGGGACGAACACCAAAAATTATTAAGACTGAAAATTCATTGCATTTGAACTTGGAGATTTTTTTTTTCATTTATTTATATTATATATATTTATTTTTTATTTACAATCCTCTGTCTCTCTAATGCCTTCTCAGCTTACAGTTGATTACTACACTGTCTCTCCCTGTTTTTATCTTTGAAACTTTTTTTGTTTGGTTTGGTTTTTTTCCTACTTGTTTTTCTCTTTAACTTCTTTGCTTTCCATCTCCTCTCACCCTTCCATTCTAAATATCACCATTGATATTATTACAAGCTAGAAAATACTTAATTGCACACAGTACAGGGACAATAACAACACCAAGGGCAATGACGGGAAGACAGAAAAAACAGGGAAACCAGTTTCCCCACAGCAAAAAATTAGTACAGAAACCAGAGGGGAATGAAGAAAACAGATACCTAGATCCAGACTCCAACAAAATGAAGATAAACTATGCCAAAGAACACAATGAAGCCCACAAGAATAATCTAAAAGAAGAAATACTACAGGTACTCAATGAGAACTTTATAGGGATGATACTGGATAGGGTCAACCAAAATGTACAGAAGACACTCAAGAAATTCCAAGACAACAAAAATAGAGAATTTGAAAAAGCAAAAGAAGAAATAAAGGAAACCATACAAGCACTGTATAAACACGAAAGTGAAACAAAGAACACGATCAATACAGAGATAAATGAACTCAGGACAAAAATAGACAACATTAAAGAGGAAACCACCCAGGATATGGAAAAACTCAGAAAAAAGAACAAAACAGAATTGCAAAACAAAACGGAAGGCCAATCCAGAATAGAACAACAGAAGACAGAATCTCAGAACTCGAAGTTGAAATGGTAATTAAAGGAAAAACTGAAGAACTATTACTTAAACAACTCAAGACCTGTGAAAAGAAAATGCAAGAACTCACCGACTCCATCAAAAGACCAAACTGGAGAATCATGGTCATTAAAGAAGGAGATAGAGGTGCAAAGAGAATGCGCAATATAGTCAACAAAATAGTAAGAGAAAATTTCCCAAATCTAGAGAAATCTATAAACCTCTACAAGGAAAACTATAAACTTCTGAAGAAAGAAATTGAGGAAGACTATAGAAAGTGGAGAGATCTCCCATGCTCATGGATTGGTAGAATCAACACATTAAAAATGTCTATACTTCCAAAAGTAATCTACATGTTTAATGCAATTCCCATCAAAATTCCAATGACATTCATTAAAGAGACTGAAAATCTACCATCAAATTTACATGGAAATACAAGAGGCCACGAACAGCCAAGGCAATACTCAGTCAAAAGAATAATGCTGGAGGTTTCACGATACCCAACTTCAAATTACATTACAAAGCAATAACAATAAAAACAGCATGGTACTGGCACAAAAACAGACATGAAGACCAGTGGAACAGAATAGAGGACCCAGATATGAAGCCACACAACTATAACCAACTTGTCTTTGACAAAGGAGCTAAAAATATACAATGGAGAAATAGCAGCCTCTTCAACAAAAACTGCTGGGAAAACTGGTTAGCCGTCTGCAAAAAACTGAAACTAGATCCATGTATATCACCCTATACCAAGATTAACTCAAAATGGATCAAGGATCTTAATATCAGACCCCAAACTCTAAAGTTGATACAGGAAAGAGTAGGAAATACTTTGGAACTAATAGGTATAGGCAAGGACTTTCTCAGCAACTAACAGATAGCATAGAGAAATGGGACTTCATAAAACTAAAAAGCTTCTGCTCAACAAAAGAAATGGTCTCTAAACTGAAGAGAACACCCACAGAGTGGTAGAAAAGATTTGCCAGCTACACATCACACAAAGGACTGATAACCAGAATATATAGGGAACTTAAAAAACTAAATTCTCCCAAAACTAATGAATCAATAAAGAAACGGGCAAGTGAACTAAAGAGAACTTTCTCAAAAGAAGAAATTCAAATGGCCAAAAAACACATGAAAAAATGCTCACCATCTCTAGCAATAAAGGAAATGCAAATCAAAACCACGCTAAGATTCCATCTCATCCGTTAGAATAGCCATCATTAGCAACACCACCACCAACAGGTGTTGGCGAGGATGTGGGGGATAAAGGAACCCTCTTACACTGTTGGTGGGAATGTAAAGTAGTACAACCACTCTGGAAAAACATTTGGAGGCTACTTAAAAAGCTAAACACTGATCTACCAT